ACTGTGTATTCTGAATTGGCTCTCACAACCAAGGAGGGTTTTCATTTGCCTTGGCCAGACTCATGGATTAACTTACACTGTTGTAACTGGTTATATAGAACTTGTTAGTCAGCATTCTTTATATTAGCAAGTTACAAAATCTCAATTTGAGCGTATGCGAAAAGGGAAATTGATTATAAAGATATTGGGATATCTCGAAGAATCTCAGGTCAGAGATGGACCTGGGGCTTAGAGCACTGTGAGAAATTTGGGAATCCTATTTCAGGTCCTTGTCAGTGCTTCTGCTTTGCTTTCCTCTCTCACCATGGACAGGCTTCCTCTGTTGTTGGTTCACCTGGTGGAATATTGCTGCCCAAAGTTTCCCTATTACAGTGAAGCCACCAAGAGGGAAAGGAACGTTTATAAATTCCCAAACATATAAGGAGCATCTTGGTTGCCCTTGCTTGAATCACATGATCATCTTTGGTCACTGTGACTAGAGAGTACACATGTGGAGTCACAAAATAGGAACATGGCATCTTCTGCTTTACCTCATAGATGGGAGTGTGTAGCAAAACAAGGAGTTTCTAGAGAAGGAATGCTGGGCAAAAACCTACTCTCAGTGCCCCAGATGTATTTTTAGCTGACTACCATGGGAAGAATACACTAAATTTACCATGGTGGTATATACATATACAGCCAGGAGTATACACACACACATACATGTGATGAACATTTCTGATGCTCGGGGTTCTAGTGATGATACTGTGTATATACATTTAAAACATGCATATATATTAAAGCATGTATCTGACTGAAAATGAAATTTAGGTCTCACTTTAACAAGAGAAGTAGAGAACTGTGGGTTAATGTACTCTGAGCATATATTCTAGTTTATAAATACCCATGTTAATAATAGGAGTCCTTTTGTCACTAGACATTCTGGTCAAATTGCGGTACAAATATAACAATGGCCCATTGAGAAAAAAAATCGTAACAAAAGAGTTGGATTACTAAGCTATTAGGAATATAAGTAGAGGGTTCCTGACTATGCCAAGAAGAGTTAGTCATCCTCCTCCTCTCTACTCTTAGAATACTGTGTGCACTCATCCTTCATACTCATTATCTCGCTGTTTATAGTCCTTTCTTGCTGTCCTTGTTGCTCATCTAGACTGTGCACACTCTGAATGCAGGCAAAGTGTCTTACTCATCTTTGTAAGATTAGCAGCTTCTATTGTATGTAGAAAATGGTAGGTACTCAGTGAAAGTCCATTGAACATTCAAATTAGTGAATTCTCTTCAGAGAAGTCACAATGTCGGTGGTTTCCAAAACGTTTGGTTAGGTTAATATATAAAACATGAAAATTAATGAGAAGTACTTTTGACCAATATTGAACTAAAATTAATAAATGTTGTAATACAGATATTACCACTTGAAGGCATTCTGGTGGAAGATATAGGTGAAAAGTGGAAAAAAGGGGACATACATATGTAATACTTTCAACGATAAAGAATTAAAAAAAAAAGGAGCATCGAGTACTGAGTTTTACTGCCAAACAGGGAACTGAATTCAGAGCAGAGTCCAAGCTCTGAAGAATATATATATTTATTGATTTCAGAGAGGAAAGGAGAGGGATAGAGAGACAGAAACATCAATGATGAGAGAGAATCATTGATTGGCTGCCTCCTGCACACCCCCTACTGGGCATCGAGCCTGCAACCCGGGCATGTGCCCTTGACCAGAATCGAACCTGGGACCCTTCAGTCTCCAGGCCAACACTCTATCCACTGAGCAAAACCAGCTAGAGCAAGAAATGGGAATTTTAAAGCAAAGTCTCTGTGTTGTTGATGAGCTGGTGATAGCTGGTTTGTCAGCTAGGTGGGACTCAGCCGGTTGGGTGGTCTGCTGTCATGTGTGTGATGGTCTTGGGATTATAGCACCTAGCTCACTTCTGCTGCATGAGAGATATGCCTGAGCCAAGCTTGGATCACCCAGTCAGGTCTTGTCAGCAGGCAATGTGGGCAGGTCAGGAATTGCTTGGAGTCAAGAAGTTTGAGAAGTTAAAAAGAAAAATAATATGACTGATGAACCTCCTTAAATTTCATTAGTGTGGTAGAACAGAGCTGATAGGTTCTGTGAAGGAGAGTGTAGTGAAGAAATGGATACAGTGATTTTAGACTCTGTTTTTAAGAGTGCTAGAAAGAATAATAAAATACAATGTTCAGAGACTACTGTAAGTGATTTTTATATTGTAGGAGAGCTGAATCTATGAGAAGAGAACCCAAAAGTTTCCAGACAGTAGCCAAGGGCTACCTGATGTTTAATGGCGGGTCCTTATTGGGGACCTTTCTGTTTAGACCTTTATGCAAGTTTTAAGAACCTTGGAAAAGAAATAAAGAAAGCAGATATGGTGGGAGGGGGGATAAACTTGGGAAACTGATAAGAAACCCATGGTCAGCAGTCAAGAGGATAAAACATCTAGAGTGACAAATTTTGTTGAAATCATAACCCATGGTATCCAGAGAGGCAGAGAGGAAAGTGAACTGAACCCTTAATGGAAATGATATTCATGAACAATGGATTGGGATGGTTGAAAAATAGAAGTCACCATGAGAATAAAAAGTAGGACTGGGGTGTTGAAATGAGTGAGGTGGAAAGAAGGTCTGTGAGAGGAGGGTTTCAGATTTCAGGGTGAGTTGGAGGAATTTTAAACCTGTTACTGCAAAGTTGGATAGACTAAGGGGATTGAAGATAGAATCATGGATTGAGCAAATATAAGGTAACTGTGAGCCCATATTAGAACAAACTTCAAAAATGCTTTAAGGGACACCTTATTAATATTGGTAAGAAAGCTGTAAGCCAGGTTTCAGACTCTTAAAATGTGAGCAGCACCTGGAGTCTTAGATGGGGAAGAGGATTAGTGAAAGCCATGAACTTCAAAAGAGGAGAGTGTTTCTCATGGAAGTGGAGGAATGGTACTGTTAAAGCAGTGATGGGAGATCTAGGAAAGTTATCATCTTTCTCTCTGGCTCTGAGTGTGGATGAGAGAGGATCTAAATAAGGATTAGAATGTGGACAGAAGAGGCGGGCATCGGGTTTGTGTAAGGGATAAGAGCTGTTGATAATAAAGATTAGTTACACAGCAGGTGGAATGGCTGTCTGGAGGGACATGTTAACAGTAGAAGATGAAAGACTGAGTAGGCAAAATTTAGTTAATGGAGGAGCTTATAGACCTATCCAGGCCCAATGTTTCCATTGGGATGTTGGTGTAAGGCCGTGTGCCTCAGCAAATCTCCATCCCCTGGTGCCAGCCTGGAGTTGATGGTGGATTCATGATGAATGATAATGGATTTTGTTATATAATCCACAGTTTATCAACTGCCCTGAGGTTTAAGAGTCTATATATAGAAAGAGGCTAATAGAAGCTAAGGGAAAAACTAAAAGTAAGAAACAAACCTACAATACAGAATAGTTCAGTCAGTATTCATGACTGTAGTATGTTTATACTTGATAATGTGTGTAATGGATTGTATGGTGCCAAGCCAGGTTCTTTTCTCTCTTGGTAGGTGTGGAGATGATTCTGGCTGTGATCTTTCCCTCAGCCTTCCTGCTGGGATTTTGGGTGGTAACAGCAGAGGTCACCGTCTAGTTGTCTCTTTGATATGGTCCTGGCATATCTATAGTAAAGTAATAGCATATAATGTGATAATCAAGTAGGGTTTGCTTTTCCCTTTTTTGCTGTTTCCTTTCTTTCTGACTTTAGATTTATTATTATAGTTATTATTTTCTCTTCCCTCTTTTTTTTTCCTTCTAGTTCTCTAGGATTTTTACTTTAAACAACTGTTTTACCAAACCTTTATAATCCAAAGAAGATAGAGTTTTGTGTGATATTGAGGAGGGAAGTGATAAAAGACAAGTTTTGGATATATAGGCTGGGGCCAGATCATGAAAGGATTTGTGTCATGTTAAGGACTTTGGAATTTATTCTGTAAGCAGACCGATCCCTTAAGGGATTTGAGCTTAGGAGGACTTCCAGTCATATCAGGAGCTTTCTGAAGAAGCATGGGGATAATATAAAATGTCTTATCACATTTGCCAAAAGACTCAGTACCTTTTCTCTATTATTTACCTGACTAGATCTGTTTTCCTGTTTGATAAAGGATGCCATACTGGTGTAGCTCAACTTTCCTGAGGGTCAAGGAAGAGGCAGTAAGTGGATGTATGGCAAACAAGTTGAGTTGCTTCAATTGTGGATGACATGAAAAAAAATAACCAATCTTTTGTATCTAGTCTCAGACACAAAATATGCATCAGTCCAGAGAAAAATTTGTGGGTAACCATGATGTAGAACAAATGATGAAACAAATTCTATTTTAATGGTTTGATATTACTCAGATTCAAATGATTATTCTAGGATTTGATGGCAGATTTCAGAAAAACTAATGAGGATCTTTGGTTGAGGTATATTAATATTTCTGGAGATGGAAATTACAGGAAACAAAGAGAAAAATGCTTTGCTAAAGAATCAAATATTATTTTGGGAAATTCTTTGTATTTAGTTGGGTAAATAAAATTGAATATTCAGAGTGGAAGCAGACATCACAAGTACTAATAGTACTGTCTGTTCGTAGCCACTACCACCTACTAATGTTTCTTGACTTCCATTTCTTACCAGATGGCAGGAAAGAAATTCGCTGGGTTTGTGAGATGCTGTAGTTTTCTGATTAGGTTTAATTTGGAGAGGAACTGGAGAATACCTAAAACCAATGATTATCCATATATACTGTTCACATGGCACTGGAAATTATTTATTTCTGCCATATTTCTTAAACACATATAACACATTTCTTCACAAATATATATTGAGCAACTGTGTTCAATCATGAACAGATATTTGGAGGATTCTGGCATAATTAAGAAGATCAAAGAGAGAATAGACTAGCCCAGAGGTCGGCAAACTCATTAGTCAACATAGCCAAATATCAACAGTACAACGATTGAAATTTCTTTTGAGAGCCAAATTTTTTAAACTTAAACTATATAGGTAGGTACATTGTTATTAACTTAATTAGGAAACGCCTGCGCCACGTCTCCCGTCGCCCGACCGACCGACACCCCCCACTTCTTCTAATGCCACTTCTTCAAAATAGACTCGCCCAGGCCGAAAACCGACGACTGCGCATGGGCCGCGAAGTTTCAATCACACTGTAGGTGTGCGCCCGCACGTGGTATTTTGTGGAAGATCCACACTCAAGGGGCCAAAGAGCCGCATGTGGCTGGCGAGGCGCAGTTTGCCGACCACCGGACTAGCCAGAATTCATAAGTTTACATAGATGTAGTACTTTGAGTGACAGGGAGAGGAAACATTCTAACTTTTCTAATGAACCTTCAATAGAAATGAATAGATAGCAAGTGTTTGCTCTGAGATGAGCTCCTTGCTAAACACTATACATAAACCCACATGTGAGGTATAGATTTTGTTTCCAAGAGGTTTAGGAGTTAGTTGTTGAGACATGATAAACACACTACCATACACTGATGGCACAAGCACTATTTTGTAAAGGAAAGGTAAACTCAGTTATGATAGATGTCAAAGAACAGAAAAAGAGATCAATGAGGGCATAGGTAATTATTGAAAAGATCTGGATTGTGAAGGATGGGTGAATTTGGGTAGGTGGAAGGCAGATTAGAGAGCTTTCTTTGTGCAGTGAAGAGCGTGTCCAAGGAAAGGATGAATGTGAAGTTGACTTCAGAGTAAGAAGGTTAGTATCAGTTATTTCGATGAAAATATCTGAAAGCAACTCAGGACAACTTAAGCAATAGAGAATATCAATAGTAGGGTCCTGGAGAACTCACAGAAATGAAGAATTAAACAATTATTTTGGGGGGAAGGATAGCCTTGAGGAGCTAGACAGCAGATACCAATAACAATCTTTTGGAGGCATTGTCATTAGATTATTTTAGCTGCAGTCCTCAAAATCCTGGGAGAGAGAGAAAGAGAGAGAGAGAACAAGTTGTTTTGTCTGCATAGAGTGTCCACCTCCAGGGATGATTAGATGCTGGGGTTTCTTTATTGGCACACCTGTCAAGGGCAGATGGAATCTGGGGAGGGGTAGTGTTTCAAGGACAAACAGCATAACATTATCAAAAAAAGGGAGCATTATACCTTGTAAGCAAAAACATCAGGTAAAAACAGATCTAATTTATTGAGTACTTACTAGCATTGTTCTAAGTATCATTTCATTTAATACTTCATTTTCTAGTAATGGTTTGAGGCAAGAACTGTTATCCCCATTTTCAAGATGAGGAAAATGAGGCACTGAGAGAGTGAGTCCCTAACTTACCCATGATTATGTGTCCCACCAGTGGCACAGCCAGTATTCAGACCCAGGCCGTTGAGCTCCAAAGCTTGTACTCAACTAGCTTGAATCCCAAGGAAGATGCAAGGTGGAGTTGCAGGAAGTGAAATTAAATAGGTGGAGCGGGGTAAAAAAAAAAGACCAGATTAGATTGGAAATGGAAAGAAATAAGGATCCCCAAAGGATAAGGGAATGGCATGATAAAAGTGAGGCTTTAGAAATATTAACCTTGAAAAGAGTGCTAAACAATTTGGAGGGGAGAAAGCCTAGAATATGAAAGCCCACAAGGTCATAATCAAGCCTGGATAATGTAGGTTTAGACCTGGTAAAGACAGATACACTCACTGTCTACATGTCTTATTCACATGATAATGAAATAATTTTACATGTAACTCCATGAAATGCTGTGGTCAATTACTGAATTAAGATTCTAAAGTGTATTCGTATACTTTATCCTAGCACAGGAACATAACTGTTCTAAGCAGTTTTCATGTTCTCTGTGAAGCCTTGCCCCAGCCAGATTTTTTTCCTTCTTTATAATTCTCCTTGGGCCATTGTCTTAATAAGTTCTCTTTGGGTCGTTGTCTTAATAAGTTCTTATTGCTATTTTCTGTACATCTTTTCTTACTTTTAGATTGCAAGAGCAGTGAGGACATGAATTGTTCCCACTGAAAAACACACTCATATAATACATTACTGGTATTATATCAGACACACATATAATGTATAAGTATAGTACATATATAATGTATATGTATGATATATATAATTTCTGTGAGCTCCCCAGTGTGTCTTCAACTTTATTATTACTCCCTGATATCTTGCACAATTTCTTGCCAATAGCAGTCACTCAGTAATTATTCAAAGCAAGGATGATATAGGAGGCATTTGAAGGAAAAATCAATAGGTCTTAACGAGTGCTTTGTCTGGGTGACAAAGGAATACAAATGAATCAAAGACAACTTGTTAGATTGTTTGACTGAGAGGATAGTACATTAGTACAGTGCCCTTACTTCTGGGCCATTTTTCTCTTGGCTTTCTTTCTCCTCTTCTCTCACTTCCTCTGTAAAGTTCTAGGATCAGGTGGAGGATTGGCCTTTGTGGAAGGTAGTTTGCAAAGGCCAAGCAGGATAGATTAGAGGGGAAGACGGGAAGCACTGCTATTTCATTTTGTCACCCCAGCATAAGGCCATCGTGAAGTGTTGCCGAAACTTGTAGTGTTTGTTTTTTCTGTGGTTACCAATATTGTGCAAGTGATTTATCACCTCATTATTAGCGAAAAGTGAGGTGGATGTAAGGCATGTTTCTTTATGGATCTGTCATATGTGGGAATATGGAATCTTTCCAAGTTTATAGGAGAATTGTTTCCAGAGAAAAACCAGGGAGAGAAAGGTATTTGAAGACGTGGAGGTTACACCAGTAACACAAAGTTGTCTGTGTCTGTTATCTATGTCCCCACATAACTAGAGAAAATTTGACTTTGGATGGTGGGCACACACTGCAATGTACAAATCTTGTAACATGGAAACCCACACCTGAAACCAATATGATCATATTAATCAATGTGACCCTAATACATTTAATAAAAAACGTTAGTATCCTATTAGTTACCAGGCTATGATTAAAGATGGGGTGAAGAAAAAGGACATAAAAATTAAAAGATGAAAAAGCATCTATTGGAGCGTCAAAAAACATTCATCAAATTATTTTAATATTTTATTTTTAAAATAGCCTTATATTATTAATAATTTATTATGTGTCAGGTGTTATTCTAAGAGCTTTACACGAATTATCTTATTTAATCTTTATAAGGATATATTAGGAAGTTTCCTATCACAATAATTTTTTTATTCTAACAGATGAGGAAACAGGTTTAGACAGATGACATAACGTGCTCCTCATAACACAGTATTAAATGTCAGCTGGGACTCAAGCTCACGTGGTCTGACACAGAGCCCGTGCTCCTCTCTATTATCTTACAGTTGTTAAGGTTGATTGTCTACAGGGCACACACAGGGGTGTGCACAAGCATGGTCTCTTTTTTTTGCGAAGTTTGTTTGTTTTCTAGCTAGCTCTGAGATGCTTGGGCAGATCTGTAGGGGAAGGGCCCCTTCCACACCTTTCAGAACATTTTCTCAACCTTGACACTGTGATTTTTGGTTAGGTAACTTATTGTTCTGGGGGTCTGTCCTGTGCATTGCAGGATATTTCACACCTTCTCTGGACTCTACCTTCTGGATGCCAGTAGCACCTCAGTTATACCGACTGGAAATGTCTCCTGACATTGTCAAATGTGCCCTTATAATTCACCCCTGATTGAGAGCCTCTGATCTACAAGGATGACTTGGTGGTAGATGACTCTATGAAAGATATGGAGGTGACTCCATTAGGATGTGTGCGGCCACCCCGGAGCATGTATTTAAGAGGTGACCAAGACTCATTTAACTCACTGATATTTACTTATTTCTGCAGATAAACGTGCATACAAATTCAATTATAATAAATGTAGATTACATCATTAGATACTTTGAGGTTCTGGATGGAAAATTGAAGAACTGAGAGACAAAGGTTTTCATAAGTAAAGGCAAGAAGTAATTGTGTAGAGAGAACAAATGAGAAGGAAGTTTTTATACTACGTTATATGATCAGGCATTATTTGTGGCTAATTTAAGGATAGTCTGAGTGCTTTTCAGTTTGCAGAGTTTCCAATGTACTGTTTGATGTTTTTACTGTTCATATTTATTCTGCATGTATGAGACTTGGTGGTCTTATAGCAACTGCTTTTAAACTGCATGTGCATATCAGAATACTCTGAGGACTGTGTTTCAGATTCACATTTATGGGCCCTATTCCAGACTTGCTGAATCTGAACCTTCAGCCATGGGGCCTGTGCTTTGAGAATACATTAAAATGCTCTGATGTACACTTCCGAATGAGAAGCATGGACTACAACTGTCCTTCCCATGTTTCTGTACCTGCCATGATCTTCTGTGACTCTCCTCCCTCTTTTTAAGGGCGTATCCAGGAAGTCACATGTGAAGCATTTTTAAAAGAAATTCCCATTGGCTGTAACTTTCTCACAGGTTATACCAAGGTGCAAAGTATGTTGACAAATGTAGTCTTTATTGCATAAGGCCAATTTAAGTTAAAAAATGAAGGACTCTAACACTAAAGAACAAGGGGATTATGAACTGCGTCCAGCATGGCCAGTGGTGAACCTGAGGAGGGGCGGTGAAGGATTAAAGAAAACAGACAAGAGAATATAGTTGGGGCCAGGTGGATCACTGCGCCTGGATGAGGACACAGTGACCCTGCCTGTAAGCCGAGTATTTTATAGTCAGATCACACAAAGCAAAACAAGGTAGTGGTCAAGATGTTTCCAATGTTCTTGCAAGTTTCAAATCTACTTAATTACATGCACCTGAGAACTCTATCAAGCTTTGTTTTGGCAGCACTTGCTGTACCTCCTGCAGCCCACATCCCTCAGCTATCTAGGACTACGGGGTCGGACTATAAGGTCAAGCTTACAACCATAGCCTTTGGCTATAATTGTGC